TTTCAATCAGGGGCAGTGGGGTAGCCTAGTGGTTAAAGCATTCTCTTATCATGCCAAAGTCCTGGGTTCGATTTCCCTACATTGATACAATGTGTACAACCCATTTCTGGTGTCCCACACCATGATATTGTTGGAATATTGCTTAAAGAAGCGTAAAACCATACTCACTCACTCCTTTTCAATCAAAGAGGAATTATTTGTTTCTATTAAAATGATGTATATTCAGAGACTAGGTGTTAGTCTACCATCCTTGTAAAATTACATGCAGGCACAGCAGGAACAAACCATTTCCTAACTACAATCCGTTAATGTGGTCATTTGCCTCAATATATTATCAGACCAGCTAAATGAACTAATTCTAAATTCAGTGACACTCACAGAGCAAAACAGAGTAATACTGCAACTGAAATGTGACATGGTTATATGGACAGATATCTGACACAACTTTCATTTTAAACTTGATATCTTTAATACAACTAAGAATCACTTAATATTAATACTTTTATTGCATTTTCAAACCGTTTTCAGTGGATGCTGTAATTTGAGTGCAGTATTGGAAATGGAAACCATGTGTAAAATGAGACTAGACTGTTTTCCTCCATTTCCTAATGCCAACAGCATTATTTGCCTTGGTAGCTTAAAGGTCACACAGGAAGATTGTAAAAACTGTCTTGGTGGCCTTGAAAGGTTGAATATTATTGCATGGAAAAATACTGATTTAATTCAACAGCAAGTATTAACAAGAAAATTTGAAGATTAAAGCAGTGCTTCATTGTCTAAACACTATGTATTTAGTAACGCAGGTATAACAATTTCATAATCTTCATTTGAGAAATATGTAATTATATCTCATGTTCAAGAATGAATGATATTTCTACTCACATGATTTACCAGCTACTTAATACTAGGTAAAAACTATTTGTACCCATCCATATAAGACTTATCAAATACAATTTCAAAACTGGCAGCAATTCCTGACCATGATGGGAATGAGGTAGGAGGGAGGTAGTCTCATGGTGTGGAGTGGTATCATACATACCAGGTCAACTGACTTCAGTGTAGACCCTTGACATGTGCTCAGTGTCTGTGGGGTGTTCTTGGGGTGGAGAGTATGAGCCAGACACCTAGCACTGAAGTAATTCTTCAGCCATAATGGCAGGCAATACTAATGGCAACCACACACAAGTTTTTCCACCATATGCCATCAAGGTGTCCTGCTTGTATCACCCAACATCACGGACACATTGAATACAGAATCAACCACATACCAAAAATGAATTTAACAGTAAGTGTTATGTATGATTTCAAAACTTTCCACTATCCTTTCATCAGTTCTCTTTTTTATCAGTAGTATATGTAATGTCGAACAATATAATTGTTATATGGCAACTGCAAATTAACAAGATATAGAGTCAGTTATGTAAGATTTCAAACATGCTTCCAAAATCAAATGTATTGAAATGAAACATGTGAATCTGTGTGTAAGTTGATCTCGTAGTGTATTATAGGGTTATGGCCGTTCATACAATACAAACTTGAACTGAACTGGAATCATTACCAACAATTCATTGGGACTGTTTGGTCAGTGTCAAACTACATGGGAACAGACTCTGGAATAAGCATGCTCAGTGTGAAATCACTGTGAGGACTGGTGTCATGGAAAGTATGCTGAAATATCATTAATTTCTTGCTTCTTCAACAATTACACGAGCAGAATGCACTGAAATCTTTAACATGTGTGATACAATCCCTAGCTGCTTCATCTGACAGAACAGAATCTGTTTTTGCTGACACTGGCTGTGAGTGTCAGACTTATTCATCTCGAAATGCCAGGAGAGCCATGTGCTTAATAACACAATATTCAATATTTGACAGCACTTTCATTTTAGCTGGAGGCTCCCCTGCTGCAACTACCATGTGCATTTTAAAGTACAGAAAGGTTGCTGACATGCAGTGAGGGGACTTGAGGGATGGAGTGGGTCTTTTTTTTATCACTTTATTTCTTTTTGACGGAGTGTTTGGCATGTCATTTCCACGTTATGTGTTCCTAGCATTCAGCAGAATTCATAAGCACTATACCAGCGTATCATATGACCTCTTCATGCAGCAGAGCAAACACAGCCTTTACTACAAAATCAAAAAATTCTATATTTTATATCTCAAACTAGAGCCATCACAGCTTGAACATTAACAAAGAAGGGGTAGCTTTGGTTTCTCTCCTGACAAGGGTATATGAAGACATTTCTTCAAAGTTGGATAAATCTGTCTTAGAAATGTAAGTTGTTAAGACACAGTCAGAATTTGTTTTAGTGTTAAACGAAGAAACAATTCCTGGAATATGATAAAAAACATGGCTGGATGCCTAGAACATAAAAAGTGTAGTTATTCTTCTGAAATGGATGCTTTCCAATAACCATTCAAAAAGTTCATGACATATATTCTGTTGAGGATAGCATTAAAGATGAAATCAATAACAGGTGCAATAGAGATAATGTTACAGCACCCATGGGAATAGGCAAAATGGAGAAGAATATCAGTACCAGGCAATTACACATTTACCATACTTTCTCCGAGGTTTGCAGAGTAGAAATGTTTAATGTTAACGAAAATATAACTTCTGTTATTATTCTTTAACAAGTGCCTCCATGAAGGTAAAACTGAGCTGTGTGACTCATCTAACAATACACAGGGGAACTGAGATGACATACAAACCACCACAGTGGTGATCACTATTACACCTTCAAATGATGTCTTCATGGCATAAACCTTTGGAAAAACACCCTCTGTATTCAGTGCTTGAATTATTGACAGATTTAGTACTTGTATGGATTTCTGCTTTCCCTGTTTACACAATTCTAGTACTTGTATGTGTATATGCTTTCCCTGTTTACACAGTTTAGGATTTCTATGGATATCTGTTTTCACTGTTTACACAACTTTAGTACTTGTATGGATATCTGTTTTCACTGTTTACACAACTCTAGTACTTATATGGATATCTGTTTTCACTGTTTACACAATTCTAGTACTTATATGGATATCTGTTTTCACTGTTTACACAGTTTAGGATTTCTATGGATATCTGCTTTCCCTGTTTACACAATTCTAGTACTTATATGGATATCTGTTTTCACTGTTTACACAACTTTAGTACTTATATGGATATCTGTTTTCCCTGTTTACACAATTCTAGTACTTATATGGATATCTGTTTTCACTGTTTACACAATTCTAGTACTTATATGGATATCTGCTTTCCCTGTTTACACAATTCTAGTACTTATATGGATATCTGTTTTCACTGTTTACACAGTTTAGGATTTCTATGGATATCTGTTTTCCCTGTTTACACAATTCTAGTACTTATATGGATATGTTTTCACTGTTTACACAATTCTAGTACTTATATGGATATCTGCTTTCCCTGTTTACACAATTCTAGTACTTATATGGATATGTTTTCACTGTTTACACAATTCTAGTACTTATATGGATATCTGTTTTCACTGTTTACACAATTCTAGTACTTATATGGATATCTGTTTTCACTGTTTACACAACTAAAAAGATTAAAAGGTTTTATACAAATGGCATAATCTTCCATAGATGAGGAAATTTCCCAATCCTGATCGTTAAAGCTTCAACAGAAAATGTTCATCTCAGTTGCACTGCTTAATATTCTTCTAATGATTTCAATTCAGTCAGTGCGCAGTTTCCCAGTTGTAAAGCATTAACCAAAGATGGAAAAAAGGTAGCATTTCTCAACCTTGTGAGGCACATATTGAAATGCTCCAAGAAGTCTCCGAGGGAATACTCATTTCTCTCCGAAGGCAATTTTCTATTACAAATTCTATTTTCATGAAAAACGACTAACATTCTAATCTTCTGGGTCAGTGACTCAAAGCCAACCAATAAGGCCTTTGACACCAGTTGAGGTCCTTGTGTTAGCAGCTTAAGTGATATAGGGGGATCAAAGCAGAATGGTGCCAGGAGATCAGTACATCACGACTGCTCCTACCAGTCACTGTATGCTTACCACATAATATTTGTATTACACAACATCACTATATGCATTAATGTGCACTGATGTTATGAAATATTACTACATACATTATATCAAGCTGTTTCAGTGCTATACACATAATAACAAATTAAAATAACTAAGAAACATGTAAATTAGATGTCAGGATTTGAGATCATTAAAAACATGCTGAAAAGGATAAGGTCTGAAAGCTGACTGGAAGATGTCAAACATTTTTATTTGTATACATCATGTAGTTTTGTATCGTTTGGTGTAATATCATATGACCGCAACTCTATTTTTATGTACAAACTCTTATTTTATGCATGTTTTATGATGTCCAGCAGTGAGATGAACATAAAATATCCATCCATCTGCCTGTTTGTGTGTCCATTCATCTGCCTGTTTGTGTGTTTGTGAATCCATCTGTCCATCCATCCATTAGTCTGCTAAAGACCAGTCCAGGGAATATTTCAAGTGAACATGTTTAAGGAAGCGGAACACAGCAGGGTGTTTGTACAGGAGCAAACCACCCTCAGCTGTTATCTGAAACCCTTTTGACTGAGCCTGCTCAAGCAAATCAGCACAGTTACAACATATCTTTCACGGAAGTGAACAGAAACATCACCAGAAGTCTGTACCACAGATTTTCCACAAATCTAACAGTGCATACTATACTGTGTATGTGTGTACATAGTGATTTCTAAAGGCATTCTACCTCAGTGCTGAAACTGTATACTTTAAATCAAGAATCTGGCTACATGTTGTCATGCACCACACACCGCTTTCACAGGTGAACTATAAATGTTGCTGAAATGTGAACTGTAGATGCAACTGAAAATAACATTCCAAGACAAGTCCAGGACATCAAATTTCACTCATCTGAAAGTTGCAACCTGATCAAACTGTCACAGCTATCTCTCAACAAGAGTGATGTTGAAAATCAATGTGACAAACTGAACAGATTAACCTCACTCACCTCGGAATGACACTTTGGCAAGGCGATCCGCCTTTCCACGTAAATTTTCTGCATATTTGAGATGCAGTATCAAAGCCATCCTTAATGTAGTGTCCCCCTAGAGTAGATCCATGTGCAACAAACCAGCCTGACTGACTGTCACCGCTCTGGCTGTGTGTACAAGCGTCCGTCCGGCCAGCCCTGTAGTGATGCCAGAGAGCCGATGCCAGCCACTTGCCTCACTGATACACTCCGGGGCTACTGCCGAGCCATGTGTAGGAATCAAGCATTACCAACGTACTACGTACATAATTCATGGACTTGCTGTTCCAGTAAGTGCGGTGGCCCCCTACAAGCGATAAGCCTTCTGTCTTTACTTACTATGCTTAGTCAATGGAACAGGGCTATTGATTTCTCCACACAATACAGGGCACACATCTCCCAGGAATGACTGGTCTGCGCAAACCCTCACAACTTTCAACTGACACTATCAAAGTATTTCAGGTTGTTATGGTTACAATTCTGGCCCTTCTGTATCCTGTACACACAGGGGATTATCAGATGACCCTGCCCACATATGTCTCACCTGGTCATACATATTCTTAAATCTGTCAGACATGTTTGTGAAGCAGGGGTAGGATGATATGGGTGGATGGAACTAACACATGATTGAAGTGGCTGCCATCACTAGAACATCTGCAATTCAAAACCTGATGTTGAGTTTCTCATCTGGAGCTCTATCATTATCAGTGATGGATAACAATTGAGTGTACAGTCTGTACAATTACATCCGATTGACATTTCAGGAATGGTCTCCTAGTAATTTGGAAAAACTCCAACTTAGTTCTTTAACTAGTGATGTAAGAAAACAATAATTATGTGGGAGTTGGGAAGGTGAATGAGGGCAGTTTAGACTATTGATTTTCTTCCAGTGTCAATTAGACAAAGCTGATGCTGATGAGGTTTGGCAATGTGACAATATTGCAATCTATCCAGCCCATGAAAATGAGATGGATATATTTGTCGCTGTCCCAGAATAATTTCCAGCATTACTTGTACGTAACAGATACAGACTGTTTATAAGTTTGTCATTATTTACATAAATGGTATCATTGTTATACTAAAGAGAATTACAATACATCAGGGACTATGTACCAATGGTCATTGATTACAGACTTGGTAGATACAAGTAACCATTTAAGTTTGGCCCAGCACAAAAGTTACATGTCAAAACAAGGGAAAGCACTTTGTTTAGTGTACACAAACATTGAAAAGGTACAGCACAAATATTCATATGTACTGAATGTATGGTGCTAGTTTTGGAAGTTGAGACACTGTAAAGTGTTACTGGGGATGCTTGAGACACTGATGGTAGTGGAGACACTGTATAGTGTAAGGTATTACTGGTAGTGGAGACTGACTGTAGTGTAAGGTCTTACTGGTAGTGGAGACACTGTAGTGTAAGGTCTTACTGATGGTAGAGGAGACACTGTAGTGTAAGATCTTACTGATGGTAGTGGAGACACTGTAGTGTAAGGTCTTACTGATGGTAGTGGAGACTGACTGACTGACTGAGTTTAGTTCTGATGGTAGTGGAGACAATAGTTCCAGCAATACTGATGGTAGTGGACACCAGAAATGGGCTTCACATTGTGCCCATGTGTGTAAGGTCTTACTGGTAGTGGAGACACACTGTAGTGTAAGGTCTTACTTTAACTGGTAGTGTACCCCACCCATACTAGTGGAGACTGACTGTAGTGTAAGGTTTTACTGATGGTAGTGGAGACACACTGTACTGTAAGGTCTTATTGGTAGTGGAGACACACTGTAGTGTAAGGTCATACTGGTAGTGGATACATACTGTAGTGTAAGGTCATACTGGTAGTGGATACACACTGTAGTGTAAGGTCATACTGGTAGTGGAGACACTGTAGTGTAAGGTCACACTGGTAGTGGAGACACTGTAGTGTAAGGTCTTACTGATGGTAGTGGAGACACTGTAGTGTAAGGTCTTACTGGTAGTGGAGACACTGTAGTGTAAGGTCTTACTGATGGTTGTGGAGACACACTGTAGTGTAAGGTCTTAGTGGTAGTGGAGACACATTGTAGTGTAAGGTCTTACTGGTAGTTGAGACACACTGTAGTGTAAGGTCATACTGGTAGTGGATACATACTGTAGTGTAAGGTCTTACTGGTAGTGGATACATACTGTAGTGTAAGGTCATACTGGTAGTGGATACATACTGTAGTGTAAGGTCTTACTGGTAGTGGAGACACTGTAATGTAAGGTCATACTGGTAGTGGAGACTGACTAGTGTAAGGTCATACTGGTAGTGGATACATACTGTAGTGTAAGGTCTTACTGATGGTAGTGGAGACACACTGTAGTGTAAGGTCTTAGTGGTAGTGGAGACACATTGTAGTGTAAGGTCTTACTGGTAGTTGAGACACACTGTAGTGTAAGGTCATACTGGTAGTGGATACATACTGTAGTGTAAGGTCTTACTGGTAGAGGAGACACTGTAGTGTAAGGTCATACTGGTATTGGAGACTGACTGTAGTGTAAGGACATACTGGTAGTGGATACATACTGTAGTGTAAGGTCTTACTGGTAGAGGAGACACTGTAGTGTAAGATCTTACTGATGGTAGTGGACACACTGTAGTGTAAGGTCTTACTGATGGTAGTGGAGACAGACTGTAGTGTAAGGTCTTACTGGTAGTGTACTGTAGGTCTTACTGGTAGTGGAGACGCTGTAGGACACACTGTAAGGTCTTACTGATGGTAATGGAGACACACTGTAGTGTAAGGTCTTACTGATGGTAGTGGATACATACTGTAGTGTAAGGTCATACTGATGGTAGTGGAGACACACTGTAGTGTAAGGTCTTACTGATGGTAGTAAGGTCTTACTGATGGTAGTGGAGACACTGTAGTGTAATGTCATACTGGTAGTGGAGACTTACTGCAGTGTAAGGTCGTACTGATGGTAGTGGAGACACTGTAGTGTAAGGTCTTACTGGTAGTGGAGACACTGTAGTGTAATGTCTTACTGATGGTAGTGGAGACACACTGTAGTGTAATGTCTTACTGATGGTAGTGGAGACACACTGTAGTGTAATGTCTTACTGATGGTAGTGGAGACACTGTAGTGTAAGGTCATACTGGTAGTGGAGACACTGTAGTGTAAGGTCTTACTGATGGTAGTGGATACATACTGTAGTGTAAGGTCATACTGGTAGTGGAGACATACTGCAGTGTAAGGTCATACTGGTAGTGGAGACTGACTGTAGTGTAAGGTCATACTGATGGTAGTGGAGACACAGTAGTATTATATAATGATAGTCCGGGATCAAGTCCAACAAAAGCCTCTGCAAAGACTTATTTCACAAATAAAGCTTTTGTCAGGCCCTTAGATCTCGCCACCATTGTATCTACTACTTTTGAGCCCCCTTTAATTTCCCGCCCACACTTGGCACTATTGTGCCGCTATGCCACGTTGTTTTGTTAACTTCCCAGCACATGTGGAGGTAACATTGGCAGGAGGTAACATTGTACCCGTCTGATGCGATCAATAATTCCTCTCTAACTTAACCCTCTACCTGGCCCATCTCTCAAGTAGTACAAGTTCGGCTCGTCTGCTTTGATGTCCACTTTATCTATGTTGTAAGTTTTGACTGACCATATTGGGTCAGTGGCTCGCTTACGGCTATCACCCTTGTGTTCCCCCGGCTGGTATAGGTACCTCACTAGGGCCCTATCTGGTATCTGTTTCTCCTTCCCACGTAATGGAGCAGCCGACTCTGCCACTATTGATTTTAGTTTGATAGCGTCTGCTGGTTTCTTGCCGGTGAGACGGGTGGTTTCGTGGTTTATGGCCGACACCACCTGAGGTAACCGAGCTACCCATTCAGTCGATCGTTTTCCCGGGTTGGCCATCTCTCTCACATACTGATGTCCGAATAAGCGCTCGGCCAAGTCCTATTGAATCTCTCAACTATGGCTTGGCTGCGATGGGCTCCGGCCGTGCCACGTCTGACCTTGGTATCGTGTTTATCCAGCAGGTGTGACATGGCACCCATGAACTCCCGCCCGGGATCAACTTGCAGCTCTGTTGGCCACATCAGTGGACTGCGTTTGTATATGTGTTCGAATCCGCGGGCTACCTGGGCCGAGTCTTTCGTGGTCAAGGGTTCGGCTTCCTTGTAGCGACTGGCCACGTCCACGACGGTTAAGGCATACTTGTACCTCTTATCATGGGGTAGGAATAGGAGGTCGGCCTGGTGAACGCTATTGGGTATGTTAATGCCGAATTTCCTTCTAGGCACGTAGCGTCGTGCCGGTAAATAGATCTGCCACAGGGCTTGTTTTTCAAGCCACTCCGGGGGTACTCGCGCTATTTTAGCCAGCTTATGTACGGCGTTAACTCCTTTCCAGTACCCACGCGGGCTGTAGTAAATAGCCTCAAACTTTCTTTGGTTCCGTGACATGCCGCCTATTTTGGTTCAATTTGTACTTGGTCTTGTTCATTAAGTTGGGCACGAGTTTTTCAACGTCTGCCACCCGCCCACCTAACAAGTTATGTTGGTACTCAGACATCCATGGGTTAACCCTCATACGTTCGGGGGCCAGGGGGTAGCTGTTGTGTGATGTGTGTAATGCCTTGGGGTATTCTAAGTCCACCTCGAGGATATAACCTTTGTTCGAATCTGGTGCGATGCTCATAACATCGACCTCATGCGATGCCCATTCGAATCCCCCTGTGGGTAGATACTGGCTCATGGCCCAACTGTACAGGTTGTTGGCGTCGAGGTAGAGAATATGAAATCCCACCTCGCAAGCCTTTCTCAATGAATAGGTGCATGTCGTAATCGGTGAGCAATTCCAACTTAACTCCGGTCTTTTTCAGCAAGGCATCCCAGGACAGACCTGGGCTGGTGTAATACCATGCGGGGTCGAGTTGATACTGCTTGAAACACGTCCGCCTAAACGTCTCAAACACGTCAGCTAACAGCAGTACATCTGTCCTCAAGTACAGGTCGTGATAGTCACCCAGTTTCTTACAGCCCAGTTTATTCCATACGTTAATCGCGTGCGAGTAATCGTCTTGGGTGATTGACGAGTCGGTCAGATTGCTTTTAAATTCTCTGATATGGGGTAGTCAGGTCTCGGCGAACTTGGCCCAACCATCCATGTACTCGTAGGGGTACACACCCTTCCTCATCAGCAGGGGTCGAGTCTCGGTGTCGGTATATCGATCAGTAATGGGGAAGGTATCGTTGGCCTTGACCCGACTGTCGAGTGACGACAGGAGGAACTGAACCGAGTCAATGAACCTCAGGCCATTCAAGCTGAAGGAGATGTATCTCTCCATGGTGTTGGGGATGCACGTCAGGTTGCCTTCGACTTATGCGATGGCCTGCATGATCAAGTGAGAGTCGTACCCTCTCAAGTTGTGGAAGACCACGGGGATGTTTATTGTCTTGGGGGTGATTCTAAGCTTGAAGTTACACGCGCTGTGAGCAGCGCCTCTATACTTACAGGTGACGTGGCAGTGATCTCTCA